ACCCTCACAGTCAGTCCTGATAACAATTATTCACTATTGTATCACAAGAGACCCATCTGCATTTCATTGCATCAGCCCTGCCTAGTCAGATTGAATATTGTGTTTTTTCAAATATATTTTGCCTATTAGACTCCTAGCAGATATATGCCCCCCTGAAATGTTCTTCCAATGTGTAAGCTGTCTTTTGCCTTTTTAATAATCTCCTTGATAAACTCTTACTCATTTCCATGCTTGGTTACTGGCTCAATCTGCTCTTTTTAAATCTCAAAAGAGATTGATTTAAGACACATCCATCCTGGTGTGGCACTGTGAGTTAATGCGCCAGACTGCAAAGCCATTTGAACTGCAAAGTTGGCCATTCAATCTCACCAGCTGCTCCTTGGAAACCCTATACAGGGTCACTATGGGTCTGAACTGACTGGACAGCACTTAACAACAACAACAACACCAATACTGCTTTGAGAACAACACAAAAAAAGATTCATTCCCAAATGCAATTATAACCACAGGCATGCTTATGTTGTTAAGTGCTATAGTGAGCCTGTATAGGGTTTTTGAAGAGCAACTGATGGGTTTGAACTGATGACCTTGTGGTTCACAGTCTAGTGCTGATCCTATAGGTATCTGACCCATAGCGACCCAGTACAGGGTTTCCGATGAGCAGCTGGTGAACTTGAACCACCAACTTTACAGTTCAACCAGCTTTGCAGTCTGGCCCATTAAACCACATTGTCACACCAGGCATCCTCCTACAAGTGTTGTTGTTGTTGGGTGCCACTAGTCCTTACCAACTCATAGCAATCCTATGCACAAAAGAACAAAACACTGCCCAGTCCAAGGCCAACCTCATATTTGTTGCCATGCTTGAACCCACTGATGCTGCCACTTTGCCAATCCATCTTGCTGAGGGTCTTCTTCTTTTTCTCTGACCCTCCAATTTACCAAACATGATATCCTTCTCCAGTGACTGGTCCCTCCTGACAATATGTCCGAAGTATGAGATATGAAGTTTGGCCATCCTGGTCTACAAGGAGCACTCTGGCTGCACTTCTTCAAACACAGATCTGTTGGTTCTTTTGGCAGCCCATAGCACTCGCAATATTCTCCTCCAACACCATAATTCAAAAACATCAATTCTTCTATGGTCCTCTTTATTCATTGTCCAGCTTTCACATGCATATGAGGTTACTGAAAATACCATGATTGGGTCAGGCGCACCTTAGACCGCAAGCTGACATCTTTGCTCTTCAACACTTTAAAAAGGTCTTGTGCAGCAGATTTGCCTAATGCAATACGTCCTTTGATTTCTTGACTGCTGCTTCTGTAAGTGTTGATGTTGATCCAAGAAGAATGAAGTCCTTGACAACTTCAAACTTTTCTCTCTTGATAAAAATGTTGTTTATTGGTCCAGTGGGGGGAATGTTTGTTTTCTCACACTGAAATGTAATCTACACCAAAGGCTGTGCTCTTTGATCTTTATCAGTAAGTATTTTAAGTCCTCTTCACTTTCAGCAAGCAAGGTTGCATCATCAGCATATTGCAGGTTGTTAATAAGTCTTCCTCCAATCCTGATGCCACGTTTTTCTTCATAGAACCCAGATTCTCGGATTATTTGCTCAGTATACAGATTGAATATGAATGGTGAAAGAATATAACCCTGTTGCAGAACTTTCCTGATTTCAAACCATTCAGTGTTTCCATGTTCTTTTCAAACAACTGCCTCTTGGTCCATGTACAGATTCCTCAGGAGCACAATTAAGTGTTCAGGAATCATACTTTACAATGTTGTCCACAGCTTGTCATGATCCACATAACTGAAAGCCTTTTTGTACTCAATAAAGCACAGGCAAATATTTTCTGATATACTCTGCTTTCAGCCAAGATCCATCAGACATCAGCAATGATATTCCTCGTTCCACATCCTCTTCTGAATCTAGCTCTAACCTCTGGAAGTTTTCTGTTGACGTATGCTTGCAGCCGCTTCTGTATTACCTTTAGTAAAACTTTACTCACATGGGATATCAAAGATATTGTCCGATGATTTCCATATTCCACTGGGTCACCTCTCTTTGGAATGGGCACAAATACGGATCTCTTCCAATTGGTTGGCCAGATAGTTGTCTTCCAAATTTCTTGTCATAGATGAGTGAGTGCCTCCAGTACCACCTGACTTTCTTGAAAGTTTCCCATTTTTATCCCATCAATTCCTGATGCCTTGTTCTTTGCCAACTCCTTCAATGCACTTTGTACTTCTTCCTTCAGTATCATTGGCTCTTGATCATATGGTAACTCTTGAAATGGTTAAACACCAACCATTTCCTTTTGGTACAGTGACTCTGTATATTCCTTCCATCTTCTCTTGATGCTTTCTGCATCATTCAATAATTTGCCAAGAGAATCCTACAATAACGAAAGTCGAGGCTTGAATTTTTTCTTCAGTTCCCTCAGCTTGAGAAATGCCGAGCGTGTTCTTCCTTTTTGGTTTTCTGACTCCAGACCTTTGCACATTTTGTTGTAGTATTTGACTTTGTCTTCTCCAGTTGACCTTTGAAATTTTCTGTTCAGCTCTTGTACCTCCTCATTTCTTCCATTTGTTTAAGCATCTCTATGCTGGAAAGCAAGATGCAGTGTCTCTTTTGACATCCATTTTGATCTTTTCCTTCGTTCTTGTCTTCTTAATGGGGGTTAGAATTTACAGCACACATTTTTTGGGGGAGAAGAGGGCACAATTCAATCAATAAATAGTTTGACAATAGAAAATTCAGACTATCCTGCATCTGTATAAATTAATCCAAGTAGAGCAGTATCTCTTTCTGATCCTAGCCTTTCTCCTATTCCACTCTACCACTGAAATAGGCTTGAACTCTACAATCCATCTCACTGCAATTTAGTGTTTAATAGATTATACTACTGTTCAAACTATCACAATTTCTTTACTTTATCATAAGAGAATAGAGAAACTGGCTGTAATAGGATTTTCACATCAACAGCCTCTACTTTAAAACATGTTTCATTACTGCATAAACCATTTTAATATGAAATATTTCAAACCTAGAAATAGGTATAGAGAATAATAAACACCATGTGCCCACTATTCAGCTTTACCAAATCATATTACTTTTATCATATTGAACTTCATATTAAAAAATTTTGTTTTTTAATAAAACATTAACACTTCTCAAGCTTTATTTCTATTCCCTTTTTAATGTAATTTCCCAGCTCCTAAGAAAGCCACCATCAATGTGTACTTTTTCACATATATGTTTTTAGGCTCTTTTTTTTGAAAAATATATGTATATAAATTATATACAGTATTATTTAGAGGGCTCTTTAAAAAAAACATGATGAAATATTCACAGGGCATCATTCAGACTAGATATTAGGAAAATCTTCCTAAAACAAAACAACCAAAAAAATTATAAGAATTCTTTTAAATGCATATGTGACTTTACAACTATGTAAGGAAACACAGTCCTGAAACAAAAGCAGTACATAGAATACGTATGACAAAACTTACCAAACTATGCTAATATGTCTAGCTTATTGTATGTCACCTTTTTAAAACAGTACACTTTAAGTAGGCATAGCTTACTTTCTGTCAATTACACCTCAATAAAAGAGACCTGGTGGTATGGAGGGTTAGGTGCAGTGGGATTGCTAACCAGAAGGTGGGAAATGTAAACTCAACTATGTGAGTTGAGAACTATGTGGCTGCCTGCTCCCATGAAAACGGATAGTCATGGAAACCCTAGGAACTGGAATTGACTGGATAGCAGTGCATTTGGTTTGATTAGTTTGGTCGTTTAAAGGTTAAGGGCTTTGTTGCTAAACAAAAGGTCAGCTGTTTAAACCTACCAGCAGCTGTGTAGGAAAAGACCAGGTGATCTGCTCCCATAAAGACTATAGCCAAGGAACCCCAGGGGGCAGTTGGACCATGTCCTATAGGGTCCCTATGAATCAGAATCAATTCGATGGCACACAACAATACTGCAAATAAAAGCTCACAAGAATAAGAAAACAAAGGAGAATCCTGTCTGTGCTAGCTTCTGTATTCTAGGCATTTCTTAAATACAAGGTCACAATTAGGAATGCTAGTGTGGCGCTATAGTGTCAGCAGTAGACAGCTAACCACAAAGTCCATGGTTCAAACTCAATAGTTGTTAATTAGAAATCCTATACAGGGTCACTAAGCATTGGACCTGAATTGATGAGACTTCAACACCACAGGTCACAATTGAAGAAAATCTCCTAACCTTCTCTTCATGCATTTCTTTTAAAAAAAGAAGGAAAATTGCATTAGATAAATAAATATTTGGAGGGAGAAGGGTATTATCAACAAACTTTTTTCTACAGAAATACTTGAGAAAAAGTGACTAATTTAAGAGTCTAGGTCTTAGCAACATTGTTCTTCCTACTGGAAGGTACTGCTAATACCTTTGCAATGGACAGTATTAATCACTGGGCACATTCACATGGATAAGAATCTCATTCCATCAGTTGTCTGATTTAAGGATCTAATCTTAGAATCCAGTAACACTAATCAGTCTACACAATTTCTCCTGTTTAGGACACTGATCCTAATCTACTATCATTCTTAGAAAAGGTTGTATTCATCTTTTTTTTCTCTAGCTAAATCCATTTTCATATCCTCTTACTCTCCAAATAAAAGAAACCAAAAAATCCATACATTCTAACTCAGTAAGAACCTGAGCCCTTAAACCACAATTTAGTACCCCAAAGTTAGAAACAATCAACGATTTCAATAACATGACAACTGCTGAACTGTAAAACCCCCAAACGCAAAGACATTTAGATACCTACCATCACCAAAGAGATGTGTCACGAGTCTGGTAAGTGTCTGTTTGAGGTCAAACTCTACCAGTTTCACGGCCTCCATGGTATGTGTTTCTTGTTTATGGGTAGAGCGAGAACTTTGTTCAAAAAGCTGCAGACTTTCTCCATCCGTAATGCCAGCAAATAACTGTAAACAAGAGGATCATATGAATAAGTCAAAACTGTTTCCAGACCAGTCTATAACAAATAATGCCGAAATTATGCTAAAACAAATTTTTTACTCCAAGTTATAATGGAGGAATAGAATCCACAATGCTTTATAGTTAATAAACAGTCTGAAAGGCGCTCTGGTGGTGTAGAGGTTAAGAGTGCTCAGCTGCTAAAAAAGAAAACAGGCAATTAGAAGCCACCAGCAGCTCACCAAGAAAAAGATGCAACAGTCTGCTTCTGTAAAGATTTGTAGCCTTGGAAACTCTATGGGGCAGTTGTACTCTGTCTATAGGGTCACTGTGAGTTAGAATTATCCTATATTTGTCTGAACTTACGGTCATTTTTTAAGAAAAGACATGATGCTCTAGTATCGTGAAAACTATGTGAAGCAGCATTTCCAAATCTTGAATTCTACCCATGAATATCTCAGAGTCCTCACTGTGAGACCAGAGCCAAAATAAGACAATAAAGTCTTGGAATAAAATGCTGCAAAGTCCACAAAGGCAGGAATTGTGGTAGAGTTTGATAACTCTGTATCTCCAAAGCACTGGACTGGACCTAAAACACATTTCTGCCACATACTATCTATGTAGATTTAAGTCTGTGATAGCGAAAGTCTCAGGTAACAATCTGTAAAATGGGAATAATAATACCTAACTCGTTAGTTTTCTAACAAGTAAATAAAACAAGGCATGACAAGCGTAGAGTATCTGGCATGTTGCAATGGATAAATAAATTTTACTCATTATTATCTTCGTTATTCTTAATCTTTGTTGTTATTAGTCATAAGCTGTTTTACCACTAAATAAAGTATTTCCATCTTTACCAACATTTTTGTTGTTTTAAGTGTCATGAAGTTGGTTCCAAATCATAGTGACCCTGTGTAAGGTTTCTGAGGAAAAGCTGGTGGGTTTAAACCACATATCTTGTAGTTAGCAAGCAGTCCAGGGCTTATGCTACAGTGCCACACTAGGATGCCACTAGCAACATGTTGTTGTTGTTAGGTGCCATTGAGTCGATAAGGACTCATAATGACCTTATGCACAGAAAACAAAACACTGGTCCAACCTCACTATTGTTGCCATGCTGCCACTTAGTCAATTGATCTACTTGGGGGGTAGATCTTTTTCTCTGACCCCCATCTTACCAAACATGATATCCTTCTCCAGTGACTGGTCCCTCCTGACAACATGCCCGATGTATAAGAGACAAAGTTTGGCCATCCTGGCCTCCAAGGGGCACTCTGGCTGCACTTCTTACAACACAGATCTGTTGGTTCTTTTGGCAGCCCATGGCACTTTCAATATTCTCCTCCAACACCATAACTCAAATGCATCAATTTTTCTATGATCTTCTTTATATACTGTCCAGCTTTTGCATGCATATAAGGTTACTGAATATATCATGGCTTGGGTCAGGCACACCTTGGTCTGCAAGCTGACATCTTTGCTTTCAACAATTTAAAAAGGTCTTGTGAAGCAAATTTGCCTAATGCAATACGTCCTTTGATTTCTTGACTGCTGCTTCCATGAGAATTGATAGTTGTTGATCCAAGAAGAATGCAGTCCTTGACAACTTCAATCTTTTCTCCCTTGATAAGAATGCTATTAATTGGGCCAGTGGTGAGGATTTTTGTGTATTCTTTACATTGAGATGTAATACCAAGGCTATGCTCTTTGATCTTCATCAGTAAATGTTTTAAGTTCTCTTCACTTTCAACAAGCAAGGTTGTATCATCTGCATATCGCAGGTTGTTAATGAGTGTTCTTCCAATCCTGATGCCATGTTTTTCTTCATAGAACCCAGCTTCTCAGATTATTTGTTCAATGCTGAGGTTGAATAAGTACGGTGAAAGAATACAACCCTGTCGCATACCTTTCTTAATTTTAAACCATTCGGTATTCCCATGTTCTTTTCGAACAACTGCCTATTGATCCAGGTACACATTTTTCATGAGCACAATTAAGTGTTCCGGAATACTCATACTTTGCAATGTTGTCCATAGCTTGTCATGATCCACACAATCAAAAGCCTTTGCGTAGTCAATAAAGCACAGGTAAACATCTTTCTGGTATTCTCTGCTTTCAGCTAACTTCCATCAGACATCAGCAATGATAACCCTCATTCCATGGACTCTTCTGAATCTGGCTTGAACCTCTGGAAGTTCTCGGTCAATGTATGTTTGCAGCCGCTTCTGTATTACCTTTGGTAAAACTTTACTCACATGGGATATCAAAGAGATTGTCCAATGATTTCTGCATTCCGTTCGGTCACCTCTCTTTGGAATGGGCACAAATAAGGATCTCTTCCAATCAGTCGGCCAGATAGTTGTCTTCAAAATTTCTTGGCAGAGATAAGTGAATGTGTCCTGTGCCACCTCACTTTCTTGAAAGATTTCAATTTTTATTCATCAATTCCTGGAGCCTTGTTCTTTACCAATTGCTTCAGTGCACCTTGGACTTCCTCCTTCAGTATCATTGGCTCTTGATCATATGCTACTTGTTGAAACGGTTGAATATCAACTATTTCCTTTTGGTACAGTGACTCTGTGTATTCCTTCCATCTTCTTTTGATTCTTTCTGCATCATTCAATAATTTGCCCAGATAATTTTTCAATAATGAAAATCGAGGCTTGAATTTTTTTTTTCAGTTCCCTCAGCTTGAGAAATGCTGAGCATGTTCTTCCTTTTTGGTTTTCTGGTTCCAGATCTTTGAACATTTTGTTGTAATATTTGACTTTGTCTTCTTGAGCTGACCTTTGAAATTTTCTGTTCAGCTCTTGGACTTCCTCATTTCTTCCATTTGCTTTAGCATCTCTACACTGGATAACAAGTTTCAGTGTCTCTTCTGACATCCATTTTGATATTCTCCTTCTTTCTTGTCTTCTTAATGACTTTTTCTTTTCTTCATGTATGATGTTCTTGATGTCATCCCACAACTCTTCTGGTCTTCGGTCTTTAGTGTTTAATGTAGCGAATCTGTTTAGATGATCTATAAATTCAGGTGGGATATATTCAATGTCAAATTTTGGCTCTCATGGACTTGTTTTCAGTTTCTTCAGCTTCAGTTTGAATTTGCATATAAGTAATAGATCATCTGTTCCACAGTCTGCCCCTGGCCTTGTTTTCACTGATGATGTGGAGCTTTTCCACTGTCTCTTTCTGCAAATGCAGTCAATTTGATTTCTATGTATTCCACCTGGTGAGGTCCAGGCTGTCTAAAGAAGGTATTTGAAATAAACAAATCATTGGTTTTACAAAATTCTATCATGCTATCTCCAGCATCATTTCTATCACCAAGGCCATATTTTCCAACTACTGATCCTTCCTCTTTGCTCCCAACCTTTGCATTCCAATCACCAGTAATGATCAATATTTCTTGATTGCATGTTTGATTGATCAATTTCTGATTGAAAAGTTGGTAGAATTCTTCTATTTCATCCTACTGGCTTTAGTGGTTGGTGCATAAGTTTGAATTAATTAGTTGGTTGCATAATTATTAATTAGGCTTCCCTGTAGGGGCATGGATATTATCCTATCATAGACAGCATTGTACCTTATGACTGATTTGCATATGTTCTTTTTGACAATGAATGCAACACCTTCATTTTGTCCTCTTCAATTTGTCATTTCTGCCATATTAAACAATGTTGTCGTCAGATTCCAAATGGCCAATACCAGTCCATTTCAGCTCACTGATGCTTAAGACATCGATGTTTATGCGTTCCATTTCATTTTGGACAACCTCCAATTTTCCCAGATTCATCCTTCATACATTCCATGTTCCGATTTTCAGTGGATGTTTACAGCTGTTTCTCTTCATTTTGAGTTGTGCCCATCAGCAAATGAAGGGCCCCATTCGCGTCATCATGGTCAACTCTACTTTGAGGAGGCAGCTCTTTCCCAGTCGCATTTTGAGTGCCTTCCAACCTGAGGGGCTCATTTTCTGGCACTATATCTGACAGTGTTTCTCTGCTATTCATAAGGTTTTTAGTGACTAAACATTCAGAAGTAGCTTGTCACTCCTGCTTCCTAGTCTGTCTTCATCTGGAAGCTCGTCTGAAACCTGTCCACCATGGGTGATCCTGCTGTTATTTAAAATACCAGTGGCACAGCTTTCAGAATCATAACAACTCACAAGCCACCACAGTATGACAAACTGACAGATAAGTGGTGGATTAGCAACATGGTAAATGTTTATTTGCTGTCGTCTAGGGGACTTTCTGGAGCCCTGTTATGGCTCTGTAACATAAACATTGGGCTGGCAACTGACAGACTGGCAGTTCAAACTCACTACCCACGCTAGGAAACCCTATTAAGGGTTGCTGTGAGTCAGAACCAACCAGATAGCACACAACAATGACAACAGAGAACTTGCTGAAGATGGCAAACTAAGAAAACAAGTCTATTATTCTTCCCATCTAAAATTCCATACAATTGAAGATTTAAAAATCTTAAACGACAGACTTAATCAGCTTCCATTTCTATTAATGTTGGTAATTAGAACCAATCCTGATGAATACAAATACAAAAGTTTTTGTGTTTTTTTACTGACTTATTGAAGAAGTAACAAAAGCAAGAGGAACTACCAAGGAAAATTCTACAAGAAATGCATGAAAAATATACTCAGCATTTCTCAAGCTGAAAGTACTGAAGAAAAATTCAAGCCTCAATTTTCAATAATGAAGGATTCTATGGGGGAAATAGTGAATGATACAGAAAGCAGCATAAGAAAATGGAAGGAATATACAGAGTCACTGCATCAAAAAGCATGATTCATTTCAGTCATTTCAATTGCTTCGCTGAAAATTGAGCAATGAAGGTGAGTTCAGTTGCAGAACTGAAGAGCCGACCAAAGGTCATAGTCCCGGGGTTCTATCAGTCTCTATCTCACCAGTATACCTTGACTATTTTATGATTTTGAGTTTTACTCCACTTTTTTCTCCAATTCTAACCAGGACCTTCTAATATAATGTAG